TCATTGTTGTGGGAAGGGGGGCAGCCGAACTCGCAAGACGGGATGATGAATTCAAAGACTGTGCCCACTACGAAGCTGCCACGATGCAAGGATGACATTCAAACAGGCAGAAACATAGAAGGAAGAAAACTTCCCACAGGCAAAAAAACAAAATTCTGGCCCTACCGGATGCCCCTTCAGGGCCAAAAAAATTCTGCTCGTTTTTTGCCCTGGGCGAGAAGAAACGCCCTGGACAAACAAAAAAAAATTTGGCCATTGGCCAAAGGGCCTGGAATCCGGACCGGGATCCGGACACGTTCACCGGACACCGGACACCGGACGGTCCGGATCCCTGTCCGGAGGTCCGGATCGCTGCCATGGTCCTCGCACATGGACCCAAAAAAAAAAAAGTAAAAGAGAGAGATCTGAAAGTGGCTCATGGGCCACACAACCTTAAAGAAATGGCACAGGGTCCGCTTGTTGATCTGTAATGACTTGATTTGACATATGGCCAAACTTCTTTCTTTAAAACCCCCCTCCACAAAATGGAAGTTTCATTTTGGTTTCTAGCTGAAGTTACAAGAGTCACATGAAACTCACGAAGGTGTTCAAAGTTTTTTGAATGATTTTGTATTTCTGCGAGTAAGCGTAACAAATTAATTTCAATGGTTAATGAATACAATTTGACAGGGTAGTTTATGAAAAGAGATCACTGTGACAAGTTTTTCCTAAAAATTGTACATGCTCCGTCCTCATAGGGTGCTTTGACCTTGCAAAAATCAGATCGAAAGGACAGCATTTTCTCAGAAAAGTGCAGAGTTCTCAGGCTGCAATTGTGCAGAGAAAGATTGTTGCTAGGGAAATAGCAGAGGTTATGCAATGATGTTTCTGTTTTCTGACATCGTTGCCGCTGTGTGCTGTTTATCATTTTCCGGCGCAACTTTCGTTTGTTGTTTACCTGTGCCCATACTTGGCGGATATGGACAGATTGCAAAGGAGCTTCGCCTAAGGGACATTGGGGGAATCATTGTGGTTGACTTTATTGACATGGATGATCCACGTGAGTGGTCATTCCCTTGGTCTTGCTTCCCAAACATTTTCTTATCTGGAAACTGGTCTTTCATTCAATGCAGGATGCGGGCCATTGTCTCTGCTTTCGGCATCAGTCTTTCCGTGGCCTATCCAAAAGGACGTCCTTTGTCTCCCACGTAGAACCTGCATTCCTCCGTGCCTTTAGTTGGGACGGTGTGAAGGCTGATGATCTGGGGTACTTGTTAGGGAAACTTTGCAGGTCCATATTCTTGAAGTGATGGGCCTATAAGAAAGATTTCTACTTTGGAAGACCTTAGGTGGGCTCTTGAGTTTTTCCCTCTCTTCGGTGGTCATATATGGAGGTTGATTT